CAAAGTGCTTGGATTACAGGTGTGTGCTACTGTGACCAGCCCACTTTGCTCTTTTTTTCCTCCCCTTTCAGCTTCCCCAAGTAGCTGGGATTACAGACATACACCACCACACTCAGCTAATTTTTGTATTATTAGTAGAGGCAGGGTTTCACCATGTTGGCCAGGCTGGTCTCGAATTTCTAACCTCAACTGATCTACCCGCCTCTGCCTCCCAGAGTGTGGGGATTACAGGTGCCAACCACTGCACCCAGCTCACTGTGTTCTTTTTCAAAATTGGCATAGCTATTTGCGAACTCTTTTTCTTCTGTAGACGTTTTAGAAGCAAAATGGCAACTTTAAAAAAAAGGCCCACCTGGCTCCTGCCTGTAACCCAACCACGAAGGTGGGTGGATCACTTGAGGTCAGGAGTTTGAGACCAGCCTGACCAACATAGTGAAACCCCATGTCTACTAAGTATACAAAATTAGTTGCACAAGGTGGTGCATACCTGTAATCCCAGCTACTTGGGAGGCTGAGGCAGGAGAATCACTTAAACCAGGCAAGGCACAGGATGCAGTGAGCCAAGATCATGCCATTATTCTTATCCTGGGCTACAAGAGCAAAACTGTATCTCAAAAAAAAATCTAGCTGGAATTTTTATTGGGATTGAAGAGATTTTTTTAAATTGCATTTTAGGTTTTGGGGTACATGTGCAGAACATGCAAGATAGTTGCATATGTACACACGTGGCAGTGTGATTTGCTGCCTTCCTCCCCTTCATTTACATCTGGCATTTCTCCCCATGCCATCCCTCCCCAGCTCCCCCCCGACTGTCCCTCCCCATTCCCCCCAATAGACCCCAGTGTGTGGTGCTCCCCTCCCTGTGTCCATGTATATTCATTGGTCATCACCCACCTATGAGTGAGAATATGCGGTGTTTCATTTCTGTTCTTGTATCAGTTTGCTGAGAATGACGTTCTCCAGATTCATCCATGTCCCTACAAAGGACACAAACTCATCTTTTTTGATTGCGGCATAATATTCCATGGTTTATATGTGCCACATTTTCCCAGTCCAGTGTATCATTGATGGGCATTTGGGTTGGTTCCAGGTCTTTGCTATTGTAAACAGTGCCACAATGAACATTTGCGTGCATGTGTCCTTATATTAGAAGGATTTATAGTCCTTTGGATATATACCCAGTAATGGGATTTCTGGGTCAAATGGGATTTCTATTTCTAGCTCCCTGAGGAATCGCCACACTGTTATCCACAACGGTTGAACTAATTTACACTCACACCAGCAGTGTAAAAGTGTTCCTATTTCTCCACTTCTCTCCAGCATCTGTTGTCTCCAGATTTTTTAATGATCGCCATTCTAACTGGCGTGAGATGGTATCTCAATGTAGTTTTGATTTGCATTTCTCTAATGACCAGGAATGATGAGCATTTTTTCATGTGTTTGTTGGCTTCATGTATGTCTTCTTCGGAAAGTGTCTGTTCATATCCTTTGCCCATTTTTGAATGGGCTTGTTTGTTTTGTTTTTGTAAATCTGTTTGAGTTTTTTGTAAATTCTGGATATCAGCCCTTTGTCAGATGGGTAAACTGCAACAATTTTTTCCCATTCTGTTGGTTGCTAATTTACTCTAGTGACTGTGTCTTTTGCCATGCAGAAGCCGTGGAGTTTGATTAGGTCCCATTTGTCTATTTTGGCTTTTGTTGCCAATGCTTTTGGTGTTTTTGTCATGACGTCCTTGCCTACTCCTATGTCCTGATGGCTTTGCCTAGATTTTCTTCTCAGTTTTCTATGGTGCCAGGTCTTATCTGGAGTTAATTTTAGTGTCAAGTGTCCGGAAGGGGTCCAGTTTCTGCTTTCTGCACATGGTTAGCCAGTTTTCCCAACACCATTTATTAAACAGGGAGTCCTTTCCCCATTGCTTGTTTTAGTCAGATTTATCAAAGATTGTATGGTTGTAGATATGTTGTGTTGCCTCTGATGCCTCTGTTCTGTTCCATTGGTCTATATCTCTGTTTTAGTACCAGTACCATGCTGTTTTGATTACTGTAGCCTTGTAGTATACTTTGAAGTCCGGTAGTGTAATGCCTCCTGCTGTGTTGTTTTTGCTTAGAATTGACTTGGATATGCGGGCTCTCTTTTGGTTCCATATGAAGTTTAAGGTGGTTTTTTCAATTTCTGTGAAGAAGGTCATTGGTGGCTTGATGGGGATAGTGTTGAATCTGTAAATTACTTTGGGCAATTTGGCCATTTTCACGATATTGATTCTTCCTAACCATTAACATGGAATGTTTATCCATTTGTTTATGTTTTCTCTTATTTCATTGAGCAGTGGTTTGTAGTTCTCCTTGAAGAGGTCCTTTACTTACCTTGTTAGTTGTATTCCTAGGTATTTTATTCTCTTTGTAGCAATTGTGAATGGCAATTCATTCTTGATTTGGCTTTCTTTGTCTTTTATTGGTGTATAGGAATGCTTTTGATTTTTGCACATTGATTTTATATCCTGAGACTTTGCTGAAGTTGCTTATCAGTTTCAGGAGTTCTTGGGCTGAGGCGATGGGGTCTTATAGGTATACTATCATGTCATCTGCAAATAGAGATAATTTTGCTTCCTCATTTCTTGTTTGAATACCCTTTATTTCTTTTTCTTGCCTGATTGCTGTGGCTAGAACTTCCAGTGCCATATTGAATAGGAGTGGGGAGAGAGGGCATCCTTGTCTAGTACCAGATTTCAAAGGGAATGCTTCCAGTTTTTGCCCATTCAGTATGATATTGGCTGTTGGTTTGTCATAAATAGCTTTTATTACTTTGAGATACGTTCCATCGATACCGAGTTTATTGAGGGTTTTTAGCATAAAGGGCTGTTGAATTTTGTCAAATGCCTTCTCTGCGTCAATTGAGATAATCATGTGGTTTTTGTTTATGGTTCTGTTTATGTAGTGAATTACGTTGATAGACTTGCATATGTTGAACCAGCCTTGCATCCCCGGGATGAATCCTACTTGATCATGGTGAATAAGTTTTTTGATTTGCTGTTGCATTCAGCTTGCCAATATTTTATTGAAGATTTTTGCATCTATGTTCATCATGGATATTGGCCTGAAGTTTTCTTTTCTTGTTGGGTCTCTGCCGGGTTTTGGTATCAGAATGATGTTGGTCTCATAAAATGATTTGGGAAGGATTCCCTCTTTTTGAATTATTGGGAATAGGTTCAGAAGGAATAATAACAGTTCCTCTTTGTGTGTCTGGTAGAATTCAGCCGTGAACCCATCTAGTCCTGGGCTTTTTTTGTGTGTTAGGCTCTTAATTGCTGCCTCAACTTCAGAGTTTGTTATTTGTCTATTCATGGTTTCGACTTCCTCCTATTTTAGGATTGAGAGGACACCGGTGTCCAAGAATTTATCCATTTATTCCAGGTTTACTATTTTATGTGCATAGATTTGTTTGTAATTTTCTCTGATGATGGTTTGAATTTCTGTGGATTCTGTGGTGATATCCCCTTTATCGTTTTTTTCCTGCATCTATTTGGTTGTTCTCTCTTCTCTTTTTTATCAATCTGGCTAGTGGTCTATTTTGTTGATCTTTTCAAAAAACCAGCTCTTGGATTTATTGATTTTTTGAAGGGTTCTTTCTGTCTCTATCTCCTTCAGTTCTGCTCTGATCTTAGTTATTTCTTGTCTTCTGCTAGGTTTTGAGTTTTTTTGATCTTGCTCCTGTAGCTCTTTCAATTTTGATGATAGGGTGTCAATTTTGGATCTCTCCACTCTTCTCATGTGGGCACTTATTGCTAAATATATTTCTCTAGAGACTGCTTTAAATGTGTCCCACAGATTCTGGTATGCTGTGTCTTCGTTCTCATTGGTTTTGAAGAACTTCTTTATTTCTGCCTTCATTTCATTGTATATCCAGTCAACATTCAAGAGCCAGTTGTTCAGTTTCCATGAAGCTGTGCAGTTCTGGGTTGGTTTCTGAATTCTGAGTTCTAACTTGATTGCACTATGGTCTGAGAGACTGTTTGTTATGATTTCAGTTGTTTTGCATTTGCTGAAGAGTGATTTACTTCCAGTTATGTGGTCAATTTTAGAGTAGGTGTGATGTGGTGCTGAGAAGAATGTATATTCTGTGGATTTGGGGTGGAGAGTTCTGTAAATGTCTATCAGGTTTGCTTGCTCCAGGTCTGAGTTCAGGTCCTGGATATCCTTGTTAATTTTCTGTCTGGTTGATCTGTCTAATATTGACAGTGGGATGTTAAAGTCTCCCATTATTATTGTGCGGGAGTCTAAGTCTCTTTGTAAGTCGTTAAGAACTTGTGTTATGTATCTGGGTGCTCCTGTATTGGGTCCATATATATTTAGGCTCGTTAGCTCTTTTTGTTGTATCGATTCTTTTACCATTATGTAATGTCCTTCTTTGTCTCTTTTGATCTTTTTTGCTTTAAAGTCTGTTTTATGAGAAACAAGAATTGCAACTCCTGCTTTTTTTCTCTCCATTTGCTTGGTAAATCTTCCTCCATCCCTTTATTTTGAGCCTTTGCGTATCCTTGCATGTGAGATGGGTTTCCTGGATATAGCACACCCATGGGTTTTGTTTTTTTATCCAATTTGCCAGTCTCTGTCTTTTGATTGTGCATTTAGCCCATTTCCATTTAGGGTTAATATTGTTATGTGTGAATTTGATACTGCCATGTTGATTCTAGCTGGCTGTTTTACCCGTTAGTTGATGCTGAATTTTCATTTTGTTGATGGTCTTTAGCATTTGGTATGTTTTTGGAATGGCTGGTACTGGGGTATGTGTAGTGCCTCTTTCAGCAGTTCTTGTAAAGCAAGCCTGGTGGTACTTTACAATCTCTGGGTACTTGCTTGTTCACAAAGGATTTTATTTTTCCTTCACTTATGAAGCTCAGTTTGGCTGGATATGAAATTCTGGGTTGAAAGTTCTTTTCTTTACGGATGTTGAATATTGGCCCCCACTTCCTTCTCGCTTGTAGGGTTTCTTCCAAGAGATCTGCTGTGAGTCTGATGGGCTTCCCTTTGTGGGTGACCGATCCTTTCTCTCTCGCTGCCCATAGTATTTTCTCCTTCATTTCAACCCTGGTGAATCTGACGATTATATGCCTTGGTGTTGATCTTTTTGTGGATTATTTCTGTGGTGTTCTCTGTATTTCCTGTACTTGAATATTGGCCTGCCTTGCCAGGTTGGGATAATTTTCCTAGATAATATCCTGAAAAGTATTTTCCAACTTGGATTCATTCTCTTCGTCACATTCAGGTACACCTATCAAACTTAGATTAGGTCTCTTCACATAGTCCCACATTTCTTGGAGACTGTTCATTCTTTTTTGTGCTCTTTTCTCTAATCTTGCCTTTTCATTTTATTTCATTGAGGTGATCTTTGACTTCTGATATCCTTTCTCTTGCTTAGTCAATTCGGCTGTTGAAACTTGGGCATGCTTCATGAAGTTCTCATGTTGTGTTTTTCAGCTCCTTCAATTCACTCATATTCCTCTCTAAGTTTTGCATTCTTGTTATCATTTCGTCAAATCTTTTTTCAAGGTTCTTAGTTTCTTTGCATTGAGTTAGAACATGTTCTTTTACCTCACGGAAGTTTCTCATTACCCACCTTCTGAAGTCTGATTCTGTCATTCTCTGTCCAGCTTTGTTCCCTTGCTGTTGAGGAGTTTTGGTCCTTTGTAGGAGGCGAGGTGTTCTGGTTTCGGGTGTTTTCCTCTTTTTTACACTAGTTTCTTCCTATCTTTTTGGATTTATCCACCTGTTTGCCGAGTCTGATCACCTGGCTCCCTGCCTCAGAGCCCCCCCTTTTTTTACGTTTCAGTCGCCTGCTGAAAGGGTGCCAGGATCTGTGTGATTTCCCATGTGGGGACCCACTGCGCCGGCTGAAACAACTTTGCTGTCCATGAATCTTTTGGCCTGGGTTTCTGTGTAAGTTCTGTTTAATCAGATGAATGTGCTAATCTGCCTTCTGAAATCTCTAATTGCCGGTTTAACAGGGCAACCAAACCAGTGTATTTTGTACGGAGTGCTGCTGCACTGTGGTCCTGGCCCAAACAGCCACGCCAGCCAAACTGCCACGCTGTCGGCCTTTGGGGCTCCTACACTCCTGGTCTGTGGGCAATAAAGATCCATCTGGAAATGCGGCGTCCACTCACCCTCTGCACTTTCACTGGAGCTGCAATCCTGAGTTGGTCATACAGTGCCATTCCAAACTGGTAACATTTATGAATGACTGTTTCTGGCCGTGGCTCCTCCTCCCCAAGCAGTGGGGCTCACTGGACAAGTGTCTTCAGACAGTACAGAAAGTTTGCACTGCAGTCCCATGGATACCAGCACAGGATGCTGTGAGGAAAGCGAGGCCGACTCCTCACCCCGCTGGTGGTCACCGCTGGAAAGTCTGCAGAGAATTTATAGATCTAACTTGGGGAGTTTTCATTGCCTTTACGTGTTAATATCTACATTTACTCTAACTTTTTATTTTTTACTGGATTTTGGAAATTTTCTTTTTGAATATCTTGAGTGTTCTTTTGTTAAAGAGACACCCCTGACCTCTCATTTCCTGGTCCTGGTCCTGAGGTTTCAGGAGTGCAACCAGAGTTGGCTCACTCAATGCGGTGTAATGACAGGCGAGAAGGCTGCAGCCTTTGACACTTCACATGAAAATGTCACATGAAAAGAATGCAGTCTTGGCCAGAAAGTCATTGCTGTTAGTGAAAGAGCCAGTGTCTGAGTGCCCATAGTTATGTATGTATGAAATATATGCATACATATATGTATACATATATATAGATAATGCTTGTTGGATTACAGTGTCTAAGTATTTATCATCTAATGTGTCAGAAGGAATGTTTGACTTTCCCAGTACTAACTGATTATGGCTGTGCATGACCCTATAAATATTTAACCACTTTTGATAACAATAACCATAATATTAGCTGCCATTTTCTGAGGCTCAGAAACATTAAGTAACTTGCCTAAGGTCACACAGCTAGTAAGTGGCAGAGCAGGATCTTACAGTGACAATTTGGAGGTAAGAGGAGAATAAGTGATGTTCTTGATTCCTGCCATGCAGATGCAGGTGGCCCCCTGGACTTTAGCTTCTCCAGGGCTGGGCTGAACTCCAGAACTGCCAGGCAGCTCTGTCACCCCATCTCTCCTCATGCTCTGGGATGGCTGCCAAAGCTACTTTTTAATTACAATCCATGTGAGAAGACTGTAGCCAGAAACTTCTATCATCCTGGCATTTTCCTTTTATTGGTGCCTCCCAACTCAGCAGTTCCTCTGTAACATGGCTAACTCCCCTATTCTGTCCTCCTAGACTTTACCTTGTGGGTTCAGAGGGGAGACTGCTGTTCCTAAGCCCTGTTGAGCATCGTTTCTGGTGTGGTAGAGTTGACAGGCCGCCTGCTTATGATTACTCCTGACTCATCTCTGCAGAGCAAACACACCTCACTTCTTGGACATCACTGAAGAATGTTCTGGTAAGTAAATTTTTTCAGTAATGAAAGCTTACTGCTCAGAACACTCAACTTTAGGAACCTAGAACTATTTTGCCCATTAATCTTTTTGGTTTTTGAGATGGAGTCTTGCTCTTGTCTCCCAGGCTGGAGTCCAGTGGCACAATCTCAGCTCACTGCAACCTCCACCTCCCAGGTTCAAGCAGTTCTCTAGTGCTAGCCTCCTGAGTAGCTGAGATTACAGGTGCCTGCCACCATGCCCAATTACATTTTATATTTCCAGTAAAGATAGAGTTTTACCGTGTTGGTCAGGCTGGTCTTGAATTTCTGACCTCAGGTAGTCTGCCTGCCTCGGCCTCCCAAAGTGCTGGGTGTGTGCTACAGTCAGATCAAAGACAGGGCCCAGCCAAGTGTAGAGTGATGGCCAGGGTAGGGTCAAACCTAGGGTAGGGCTGAGGCAAGGGCCAGGCAGGGTGTTGCCAAGATGAAGGCAAGGACAGGGAATGGCCAGGGTAGGGACAGTACAAGGGCAAGGATAGTGCAGGTTCATGGTGTTGGCAGAATCCAGGGACAGGGTCAGAGACATAGCATCACCAGCAACTGGGCTGTGGCTAGGACAGTGACAGAGCCAGAGTCAGGGCCAGACCAGTGCAAGGCCAGGGTAATGCCAGGCATTTCAGGGTCAGACAGGATCAGGACCAGGGAAGAACCAGGGTAAGGCCTCAAGCGGGGCAGGGCCAGGACCAGGATCTAGGTTAGTGCCAGGGCTGGGCCATAACAGAGGGGCAAGGCCAAGCAAGGGCCTGAGAAGGGTAAGGATCAGGACCAGAACCAGGGTGGGGGTAGGGCCAGGATTGTGACAAGGTAGGGTCATCGCACAGCATGGCCAGAACTGGTTCATAGAGAAGGCAGAACCAATGCTAAGGTAGAGCCAGGGCTGTGGCAGGGTCAGTGAATATCGAGGGTGGGACCAGGCCACAGCACAGCCAAGGCAGGGTAGATCTGGCATTGGTACGACTGGGATGTTGCAGTGTCATTTCACTGCCAAGACAGGGCAGAACAGGGAAACACAATGGCAGGGCCAGAGCAGGGACAGGTCAATGCTCGGCCAGATCAATTCAGGGCCACAATACCTCCAAGTCTATTTCAGGACCATGGCAAGTCCACGGATATTGCAGAACAAAGTGTAGGACAAGGGCCAGGTCTGGGCTAGTGTCAGGTCCAGCGCAGGGCCTAGTCAATGCTAGGTTAAGGGCCAAGGTAGGGCCACGTCAGGGTCTAAGCCAGTGTGTAGGCCAAGGGCAGGGTCAGGGCAGAGTGAAGGTACAACCAGGGCATGGCAGGGAAGGGTGGTTCAAGACAAGGGCTATGCCAAGGCCAGGGACCAGGAAAGAGTCAAGGTCAGGGTCAGGGTCAGACCTGGATAAGAGCAGGGTTATGGAGAGAGATATGTCAGGGACAGGGCAGGTACATGGTATGGTAGGTCCAGAGCCAGGCCATACAGAGGGTAAAGAAAAGGCCAAGGTAGGGTTAGGACAGGTCCACAAATGGACCACGGCCAGGGCACAGCCAGGGTAGGATAGGGCAGGGCTATGACACTAGTGGTCCATGGCAGGGCTAGGTCTGTCTAGGGAGAGAGCAGAACAGGCAAGGCCATGGTAGAGACAGGGCAGGGAAGGGCAAAGGCAAGGACGGGACAAATCAGGCACCCGACATGTCCAAACACTGATCACAGTTAGTACAGGACCAGAACCATGAGCATTGGCAAGCCTGGGATTATGTCAGAACCAAAGACAGGACAAAAGGCACGGTCATAGTGAAGGCATGGCCAGCCCCAGCTCAGGTCCAGGGAAGTGGTAGGGTATGCTAGGGCCAGTGTAGTACAGGGACAAGGAACGGGCAGGGCAGAAAGCGAGGGCCATGACAGAGAATGGACAGGGAGAGCCAAGGACAAGGGTAAGGCCAGACAAGGGCCAGAGAAAAAGCAAGCCAGGGAGGGTCCAAAAGCAAGAAAAGCCAGCTCAGAACCTGAGCAAGGGGAGGCCAAATGCAGGACCAGGACAGAGCAAGACAAGGATAGGGAGTGACATAGCAAGCCAGGGTAGGACCAGGGCAAGGTTAGGGACAAGATAGGATGAAAATAGCACAGGACCAGGGTAGGGCTACTGCCAGGAGAGAACCAGAGAATGGCAGGGCCAGGTCAGGGTCAATTCAATGGCATTGGCAGCGTCACCACCATACTATGGGCAGGGCAGATAAATGCAGAGCCAAGGAGGGGCCATGATCAAAGCAGACATAGGGTGGGTCCAGTGCCAAGACAGCAATTGCATGGCTAATACTTTGCCAGGGCCAGTTTAGGGCCAGGTTAATGTTGGGTCAGGGACAGAACCAGAACAGAGCAGGACTAGTTAGGGTCCAGGGCAAGGGCAGAGCCAGGGAAGAACCAGGAGAAGGAGAAACCAAAGGTAGGGCCAGGATAGGGTAGGGCTAGGGCAGAGTAGGACTAAGGTAGCACAGGGCCTGGCCAAAAGCAGCACAGGGCCATATCAGGGGAAGGACTAGGATCAGGGCAAGGTCAAACCCTGGGACAGGGTATGGTGTGGCCAGTATAGGGCCAGGATAGATGATGACAGGAGAATGGCTGGAGGAGTGGGCAGGATCACGACTATGGCCAAGTGAGGGCCATGACAGAACCAGGGCCAGGTCAAGCCCCTCGTATTGGCAATGCAGAGCAAGGGAAATGGCAGTGACCAGTCTGGACTGCTAGGGCCAGACTAGAACTGGGGCAGGACCACATCCAGGACAGGAAGAGGGATGGCTCATGGCCAGGAATAAATCAGGGGCAGGGTAACAGCCAGGGAAATGACAGGACGAAGATGAGGGCCAGGACTGAGCAGAAATAGGACAGGACTAGTGCCAGAAAGGAACATGGGAGGGACAGGGCTTGGGACCGGGCAGGTTCAGGACCTGCAGAAGGTAGGGCAAAAATAGGGTGGTACAGGGCAAAGGAAAGATAGGGTCAAATTAGAGCAAGGATGCAGCCAGAGGATGGCAGAGTAGGGTAATAGAAGGCCATGCTGAGGACATGGAACAGGCAGGGCCCACAACAAGGCAGGGCCAGAAAGGGGTCTGGACAGAGCAAGGCCACTGAAGGGCCACAGAAAAGACAGGGCCACAAAGGAGCCAAGACAAGGACACCACCATGTGAGAACCACAGTCAGGGCCAGGGCAAGACAAAGGGAAGGGAGGGCCACAGCATGCCAGAGTAGGGCCAGGGTAAGGTCAAAGCTAAAGCAGGACTAGGATAGCACAGAGTTAAGGTATGACTAGTGAAGGGCAAATTCATGGCATCACCAGGGCATGGTGAGGTCTATGGCTTGAACAGAGCAGGGTCAGTGCCAGGCTATAGGTAGGGCAGGTCAGGGGACAAGGTGGGACCAAGATAGACCAAGACCAATACAGGCACAAGGTGGATTCAGTGACAAGGCATGGCTGCATCAAGAACAGGGTCAGTCAAAGTCCAGGTCCAGGGAAGGTCCAGATAAAGGAGAGAGCCAGAGAAGAACCAGGAAAAGACAAAGGCAGGTCAGGACTGGGTATGGTAGGGGTAGGACCAGAGCAGAGCAGGACTAAGGTAGCACAGGGCCTGACCGAAAGCAGAAGAGGGCCATTGCAGGGGAGGAACTAGCAGTAGAGCCAGGGAAGACACTGGGCTCAGGACATGGCAGGGCCAGGGCAGAGGATGGAAGTGCAGGGCCAGGACTATATCATGGACAGCATACGCCTGGGGTTGTCATCCCAGGGCAGGACCAGGGAAAATCTGAAAAGAAGGCAGGGCCAGGACCAAGACAGATCCAGGGACGAGAAGGACCATTGCAAGGTGAGGGCAAGACCATAGTTTGCAGGGGCAGGGCTATGGCAGATCAGGTTCAGGATGAGGGTAGGGCCAGGTCCAGGAATATCACAAGACCAGGGCCAGCTCAGGTCAAGGCAGGACCAGGTAGTACCAGGGCTGAATGACAGCCCTGAGTGCAAGGGCTGAGGAAGGATCAGGGAAGGTCCAGAGCTTAGTCAGGGTCAAGACAGGAAGTGGAAGGGGTCAGGACCAGGATAGGTCCAGGTAACAACCAGGGAAGGGACAGGTAGGGTAGTGGGAGGACCAGGCCATGGCAGGGCCAAGTCACCCCTGGGACAGGGCAGGACAAAACTGGGGTCACACAGGGTAAAGTCAGGGCAAGTCCACTGCAGGGCCAGGGTCCAGACCAGTGCCAGAGAAGTGCTGAGATAGGGCCAAGGCTGTGACTAGGACCAGGAAAAAGGGCAATGTCAGGAACAAGGCAAAGAAAGATTTTCAGGGCCAGAGCCAGGGCTATGGCAGGACCAGCAACAGGGCTAGGGCCAGATTTAGGGCAAGGGCCAGAAAAGCATGTACTGGGTTAGGGCCCAGACAAATCAAGGCCAGGGTCAGGCCAGTACCATGATAAAACCTTAAGCAGTTCAGGACCAGGGAAGGGATAGTGCCATGGCTTGGTTTAGGACAAGGCTGGGGCAGGACCATGACAGGACCAGGGTTAGGAGCAGGGGCCAGTGGTCAAGGTCAGGGCTGGGGCCAGGTCTGTGCCAGGGTGAGGGTGAGGGCCAAGGTAGGGAAGCGCCATGTCAAAGGGGCAAGACCAGGACCAGGATGCGGTTAGGGCCAGGGAACAATTAGGGTAAGGTCAGGCAGGGCAGTGGAAGGGCCAGCCCATGGCAGGGCTATGTCAGCACTGTGACAAGGCAGAGCCAGGCCAGGATAGTGCAGGACAAATGCAGCGCTGGTCCAATGAATGGACAAGTTCAAGGAAAGAACGAGCAGCACCAGGATCATGGCAGGACCAGCAACAGGGCTGGAGCCAGGAAAGTGACAGGGTCAGGGTGGTGGCTCGGGCCATTACAGCACATCAGAGTATGTCCTGGCAAATAAAAGCCAGGACGGGTTCAGAGTCCATGATAGGGCAAGGCCATGACCAGGTCTAGGACAAAAC